CCCCCCCCCCCCCCCCCAATTCTGAAAAGTTATTTGTCTTGTTCTCAACCTCTGAGCATCAATTCCACCAGAAATCCAATTTCATTTGAACCCAGAATTCTTTCTTTTAACACAGTTAAATCCAACTGTAGATTTATTTGTTGCAGCTTATTAGCTATGGTAATATTTATTGCACCTATGTTTAAATACTGCTTTGTTGGCTGTCTTAAACGACAGAGTGACATTTCTGTAGGTTGTTGGCATCTTGATAAGCCATCCTCTATTAAGTAGTAGATAATTCTTTAAGATATGTGGTGATTATTACACTTTTCTATCATACAGAACAAAAAGACCGATGCATCAATGGAAAAAGAATAGCAGGAAAGGACTAGCTCTAAGGAATAAAGACGTAGAAAGGCGAGTAATTAAGACTGGGTCAAGAAATAATTGGGACCGGAGCGCTCAGGAGGAATTGTGATATTAGAGATCAGATGTTTATAAACTCTCTTTTAGCATTTGTGAGGTAATGTGTCAGAGTTCAACATGTTAACCTAAGGCTGAACAGTGTCGTGGAACTGCAGTTAAGAAGGTGAAGGTAAGCAGATACACTGGATCAAAGAACATGCAATGTGCTGCTACCGTATACTGATTTCATCATGTATCTTAGCTTGAGGTTTCTTCTATGTTTTATACCTACAAAGACACAATGCAGAAATTTCTTAAAAATGTAGGCTTAATTTCTTGAAATTCTGGCAGCTATAAAATGCTATTGGTTAAGACCAGGTTATGTTTTAGTGTTGAAAATCCCAAGGTGAAGGTAATATTAGTTCTACTGGTATAAGAAGTCACCTCTTGAATAAAGGAGCAGTTGAAAAAAAAAAAGAAAAGTTGTTTCTGTCTGTTTACTTTTGTCTTTTGGGCCCTGCAATAATATTTTTTGAACCACAGGCTTTTTAAAGATTTGGTTACAAAGAAAAATGAGTGCTCTAAGTACATGGTCTGGTCTCAGCAGAAAGGCTTCATATTGTCTTACGCAGCATGTCACAGTGTTTTAGAACTCAATACTAACTGATTTTAGTCATTGTTTTGGTTTTTGGTTGTATTATTGAGGCATACTTATTTTTATTACTATTATTTTTATTCCTATAAAACTCTGCAGTTTTAATTGATTTTTTTATTTGATCTGAATTTCTTTTCAACAGTAACTAGTTTAAGCCCATGACCTACTTCATATCTGACTCTGAACAGCTGTCAGATGACACACCACTTCTCTAGTGAGCTGTTTTGGATTCACTGCAATAGAGGCCATGACTATCTACCATTACAGCTTCCATGAATCATTGATTACTCCAAGAGAAAGCTGCGATTCTTTATTGAATAGCCCTTTGCTAACTGACTCAAAAAAGTGAATAATGGGAACATGGACATAGAAAAGGTGTTTTGTTCTCAAGGCACATGCAAATTAAGCTGTCTGATACTGTCAGACAATTGGTTAGTTGTATTTGCTTCATTAAAAAAAAAAAACAAAGATAAAAAATATTGGCTTTACAAAATTGCTGTAAGGCTCTTACTAGATTTTAAAAATAGTTCTGCAGAGCTTCTTGTGAAAAAAAGACAAATTATTTTGGCCAGCAAATCTGGGGAAGCTGATCTCAGTCATCAAAGTAAAATTTCCTGAGTAGTCTTAGTGAAGATCTGCCAAAATTCCAAAACTGTACTTTTTTTTTTTTTTTTTTTAACAGAACTCTGACTCACATATACTGCCAGATCAGCTTTCTGGTGGAGGTCTTTTTCAGAATAATGTTTTTCATCAAAGTCAAATTGCATCCTTAAAGCAGGGCTTCTTTGAAAGAAATAGTTTCATCCAAAACACTGTGAAAATAATCTTTGGAGAATTTGAATTTTTCATTGGTTTTATAGAATTTCCTTTATTGAAATGGATCGTTTATTGGTTCCTGGTGTATATATGTATTTTTTTCATGATACTGAGTTATTTGGGAATTATTTGTACATACTATTCCTTCACATTTCCATTGATCATTTTCTTAGTAATTTTATATGGAATATTCTTATTTTATTTAGGTAACATTTCTATGCCTTAAAAAATATGTTACATTGTTGACAAATAAATTTGTTCAATGTTTTCAACTCAGATTTTGTCATCAAAGGGAGACTGGTACATGTAGAATAGAACTAAGGATACGCATTTTAATATAATCTAACTGCGTTTTTCCTTGTTCCTCTCTGCATTACCTTTTCATAAAACTGCACTTAAAAGAAATATTATTAAAAAATAATTTTCTTTCGTATGGAATATAATTTGAAATGACGTGGTGTCTGTTTTCCAAATATAGTTAACGTAAAATATGATGAAACAGCAAAAGCTTTTATATTTCCTTGTATTCTTTCTTTACAGATGGACCCAATTCAGAAAGCTGTAATAAATCATACATTTGGGGTCCCTCTTCCTCATCGAAGAAAGCAAATCATATCATGCAACATTTGCCAGCTGAGATTTAATTCTGATGTAAGTCAATCATTTTGTATCAGATTAGAAATATGTACTTATCTTCTTGGATGTGTCATAATTTGCATAAATTGAACCTAAATGAAATGTTTTGATTTCAGTTTGTGGTTCAGCAGATGAAAAGACTGTAGGATGCTTCAAATAAACACAATTATTTGATAGTGTTTATACACCAGGCCAGATTTTCCCTGCGGATATATCTCTGCAAACTCATCAATTTCAGTTTTGCTGCATGGACTGAAAATAGGAAAACTGATTGATCCATTACTGCTAATAACTCTGAAATATTTGCTGGGTCCTAATTCTTCTGCTAGCCCTGGATGTAGTTGCCTTTTCTTCCTCAGAATATTAGAAGTTATTCAGATGTGCATCCTTATGAATTTACCTTCTGTTTGCTATCCTTACAAAGACCTTTCTAGCCAGAATTGTGTTTTAGTATTCCTGTCTTGACAGTATGATCTTAATAGTAATAAGAATAATAATAGATGCAGGTAATTTTTGTATGTTGGCTACTATCCTTCTTTCTCTCATTCCTCCAACAATTAAATATAACAATCTGAATTGGAAATCGTCTCTAATATACAGAGAACACTCTAACTACTTTATTTTCTTCTCCAGAAACACTGTATGTGCAGAAACAATCTGACATGGTGCAATATATTGTCTTCTGCTATTCTAATCTTCTAAAGTATGGGCATTGCTGGTGGCAACTTATATTCTCCTTCCAAATGTCTTTCAATTATTACCTGTTTTGTTAATTTATATATGGAATTCACATTTGTCAAAACAAAAATGTTTGAATTTAAATCGTTGTCCAACCCAAATATATTCACAAGGCTCCTTCCTCATGCTAGTCATAAAAGAATTGAAAGAGCTCTTTGTGCAGCTTTTTCTTTGTAGGCAAATCTTTATGATCAGTTAATCATCATATTTTTTAGTTTATCAATTATTTATTGAAGCCACAAACTTGTCAAAAATTTAAGTTGAGCCTTGAAGCGTTCTGTAACATATTGACTACCTATGTATTAAAGTAATGCAGCTCTCTTCATTCCCCTCAGCTTTTAATGCTTAGAAAGAATTCTAACAAGATCTCAGTCATGACTTTCAGACCAGTGGGAATTACATATTTAACCTTCATTCAAGACTCCAGATATTTTAGTTTACGGACTGAATGGTCCCCTTTCTCTTACAAAATTGACAGTATTCTCAAACAGAGATGCAAACAATAATACAGTATCTGTAGCTGTTGCAATTCTCACAGATAAAAATAGGAGACTCAGATTACACTCTCCCATTTAGAAGCCAAATGCTAGAATTATGACTACAAATATTGAGCCATTCACAATAGATCTCTCACAAACAGGCAACTTTAGGGGATGTTGGAGACTTATGGACCACAGTAGATCCCACTGACTGGGAGTAGCTGACTGCTACTGAGTAGCAGACTGAGTAGCCTGGCTTATTGCTCATAGTTTTCAGCTTCATCTTTGGAAAGAGCACGTCAGGCTGAATCATACATTGCGTATATCCTCAAAAGTCATCAAACACCTCAGTGTTACATACCAAAATCTTCTTTCACAGAAGGAATACCATTTCTTAGTCTGAAAAAGATACAGGCAGAAGTGAGGTTGAACATGTCATTAAGCTAACTTAGTCATTAGTAGATACACAAGTTGGACAAATACATGGAATAAAACATTTTCCAGCCGACAGGATGTAGGCATTTTCCAGAAGAAGGTGAAATAAGCAATTTTCTACGCAGAAGGAAGCACAGTATCAGTGAACGCTGACACTTCTGACTCAGAGGACTGGTATGCCCTCATGCTGTTCTTCTCTTGGTGCTCTTAAAAGGGATTCCAAAGTAGAGAGGGGAGAGAGGCAGTGGCCATTTTTAGAGATCTCTACAATACCTAGAAAACAACAGCAACAACAAAACACAGTTTCAGGAGAAATATCTTCATTTAGACTATTTGAGGTAAAAAAAACTCCTGGAAAAATAGTTGTGAAGCAGATATTTAATTGTCCTTTCACACATTCAATCCAAGAGGTTTGAATTCTGTTTGCCAGAGCTGTTTAGAGGAAGTTTGTTCTAATTGTCTTAGTTTTTAAAGCATCCTCAGTGTTTCTGTTGGATAGAGGTTAGAATTCCAAATGTTGCCTAGTGATTAACCTGGGAAGATATCTGTCCCTCTTTTCTTAAACACCCAGAAGAGATTTGCAGATGTCTTTATGGTTCTCTCTTCTCATTCCAGTGTGTATAGTTATTACTACTGACATTCACAAAGTGCTCTGCTGAGGCTTTTCAAGAAATAATACATAGTGTTGCTGCAGGTTCAGAAATGTTTTTCTGCAATGTGAGTGGAATAGGCAGAGCTAAGTATCTCAGCTGCTTGGGTAACTCTGAATGACCACCACTTTTTTTTTTTTTTTTTATGGGAAAAAAATGTGCAGATTCAGTGTGAAGACTTAAAGATTGCCCTGAAAAAAAGAGTTATTAGTTACGAATTTTTGGTTGTTAAATTATATGAATGGCAGTCACACATTGTAGATTTTTCCCTAGTATTATGAAAAACTTTTAATTTACTGAATCCTTGCACCTTTCATTGTAACCATACTTCATTGAAGATGATTTAAAACACTAAGAAAAATGAATAGCTTTCCTGTTTAGAAACCTAAGGGTTTGTTGCTGTTCTATAGATGCATCTCTATATTTTTAGATGCTGGAGATAGAATTTATCAGAGAATAATGACTAGAAATTCTGTTTACCTACATCACAACAGTATTATGGAAATGTTTACAATAAAACTGGTCTGTGAAATTTTTCATTTTTGTAGAGAATACTGAATTTTCTCCCCTTTGATACAGATTTCTTTCAGTACAGAAGAGCTTTTTTCCTGGTTACACAGAATCAAAATTACATTTCAGAGAAAAATGAGAAAGGCACTACAATAGTCTAAAATCATTTAGTTTCTTTCTAAAGGCGTTAGCTGTAAATCTTCATGACAGCTGTGTGTTCAGTATTTCTTTTTAAAATAAATCTTCTCATATGAGGGAAGGGAGGAATGAGCAAGTAACCGAAGCCTCTCTGTGCTGAGAAGAGAAAAAAACCCACAACACTAGAATAGCAGTTGTAGATTCAGTGGAATCTGTTTCAAGCAGTGGCTGTTTAATTATTTTTTATTTATTTTTCATTGAGGGAGATCTGTGTATAGTTTTTATCTTTATATTATGCATCCAGTAAAGGGAAAACCATTTAAGTATGTTCTTAACAGGAAGTGTGTGCATTGCCTTTTAGATTTTTCTATCTATTCATTGGTATTTTGCCAGTTGAAAAGGACTGTTAAATACACGCTTTTGAATAAACATAAAACATCTGCTATAAGCATCCTGAAAACAAATTCCAGCTAACCTGAGTAGGACAATTCAAGAGGTTTCCCTGCAGATAGATACTGGAGTAAATACTCTGCTAATGCAAGAACTCAGTAAACACAAACTCATTAATCACTACCATGATTTGGGTAGGGAGGGGGGGTGGGACTTACTAAATTTTCACCATTTTTTAATGTAGGGAATGTCAGTATCTACTAATCAGGTCAATTGTTGCAAAGAGAGTCTCTCTTACTTTTTTGCACAAAGTAGATACCTGAGTGATAATTCAGCTTGTCTTTAGAGAAAGGCTGGGCAACATTTTGATATATTTACAAGTCTTGATTTCCATTATGATAATCTGTAAAAGTATTTCCAGATGGTAGCCAGAAATAAAATTGTTTGTCTTAAATAGAAGCAGTAGTGATGTTCTCCTGAAAGTCGAGCAGGATGCTCATCCTGGAGTTACTGTTTGTTGTTTCCTTTTAAACCCTGTTTTGCTACACCTCTTTAAAGTAAAGGTAATCTCCGACTCAATGCACAGTTCTGCTGTATGAAGTTATCATGTGCTGCTTCAGTAAAACCTGAATATTGTGGAAGATAAGGATGCAATATAGCTCCATAGCATTTTATGACAGTTCTGACTATCATGGGGAAAAAAAGCAGAACCAGAGGACTCTATCCTGTTTAGGTTATGCTAAGTATCTAGAGCAAGTACCAATTTGTGAGCACCTAGAGATAAGAAACAGCCAACATGAATTTGTTAAGAACAGATCACATCAAACCAATCTAATTATCTCCTTTGACAGGGTAATTGATCAAACTGATAATGGGGAATAAGTAGGTGTGATATATTTTGGCTTTTATAAGTGTTTATATAAGATTGTCACAGAGAGCCATAAGGTAAGTAAGAAAATATGGTCCAGGTAAAATTGTTAAAAGCTAGTTGTACAACAGATTGAAAAATTGCTCTGAGAGTAGTTGTTGATTTCTTCCTGTCAAAACAAAAGAACTGTACAAGTTAGGATCTGCAGGAGTCTGTTCCATACTTGCTGCTAGTCCACATTTTCATTATCTGTATGTCTGAAAGAATAGAGAGTACACACACTGGGATTGTGAATGGCATCAAAATGTAATGTGGCTGATACCTGATGAAAAATGGCAAGTTCAGGATTGTAGTACAAAATCATTTTCCTGATTTGTAGAAAATAATCTAAAATTCCAGAAAATACAATAAATGCAAGTACGAATTATTGTGCTTAGATTGGAAGAATTAAATACACAAGCAGTGAAATGAGAAATGTATGGCTTATTGGGCAAAAAGGACTCACAATCTGAGTATATGTCATCAAGAACTAAGTGGGGAAAAGGTTTTACGTTTATCCGTAGGTGGGTAAATATTTGACTATATCAAAATTGGAATTGCCTCAGATGAGCAATCATTTGCAGCACTGGTCATCATTCTTCAACAAAATAGTACATAGTGTTGCTGGAGGTTTAGAAATGTTTTTCTGCAATGTGAGTGGAATAGGCAGGGATAGGTATCTCAGTTGCTTGGGTAATTCTGAATGACCAACACTTTTTTTGTCTGTGTGGAAAAAAACCTGCAGATTCACTGTGAAGACTTAAAAAA